GGAGACAAGAGAGAGACCAGAGAGAGACCAGAGAGAAACCAGAGAGAGACCAGAGAGACCAGAGAGAGACCAGAGAGAGACCAGTGAGAGACCAGAGAGAGACCAGAGAGAGACCAGAGAGAGACCAGTGAGAGACCAGAGAGAGACCAGAGAGAGACCAGTGAGAGACCAGAGAGAAACCAGAGGGAGATCAGAGAGAGACCAGAGAGAGACCAGAGAGAGACCAGAGCAAGACCAAACAGAGAGACCAGAGAGAGACCAGTGAGAGACCAGAGAGAGACCAGAGAGAGACCAGAGAGAGACCAGAGAGAGACCAGAGCAAGACCAAAGAGAGAGACCAGAGAGAGACCAGAGAGAGACCAGAGAGAGACCAGAGAGAGACCAGAGAGAGACCAGAGAGAGACCAGAGCAAGACCAAAGAGAGAGACCAGAGAGAGACCAGAGAGAGTCCATAAATAAAGTGTCTTGTTTTCGTGGCAGTTTCATGATGTTGTAAATACATCGGAGCATATAATAAATAAAATATGAGAAAAACACACAAATCTTCAAAACTGAGAAACCTCGTTTGAATCCAGTGAGAAACATCTCTCTCTCTCTCTCTCTCTCTCTCTCTCTCTCTCTCTCTCTCTCTCTCTCTCTCTCTCTCTCTCTCTCTCTCTCTCTCTCTCTCTCTCTCTCTCTCTCTCTCTCTCTCTCTCTCTCTCTCTCTCTCTCTCTCTCTCTCTCTCTCTCTCTCTCTCTCTCTCTCTCTCTCTCTCTCTCTCCTCCTCTGATACATTATGCACCGTCGTGGTACAGGCTCTTCTTTGGCGACAGCTTTTGAAAATGTACTTTTGATCGTCCCACACGCGGCTGGCAACAACTTTTCATCTCTGCAGGAAAAACAACAAACCGTCTGAAGCCGAGAGTTTGAAATCTCCGGAGAGCAATTAATCAGAGAGAGCTTTGATCAGCGGAAAGAAGCCGCGCGGGTTTGAAGAGCTGCACCGTTTCAGGTCGCAGGGGAACCAGGCTAACCAGGCTAGCAAGGCTAATGAGGTTAACCAGGCTAACAAGGCTAACGAAGCGAACGAGGTTAACCAGGCTAACCAAGCTGACCAAGCTAATGAGGTTAACCAGGCTAACCAGGCTAATGAGGTTAATCAGGTTAACAAGACTAACCAGGTGCACAAGGCTAACCAGACTAACAAGGCTAACCAGACTAACCGGGCGCACAAGGCTAACCAGACTAACAAGGCTTATGAGGTTAACCAGGCTAACAAGGCTAACCAGGCGCACAAGGCTAACAAGATTAACTAAGCTAACCAGGCTAACAAGGCTAACCAAGCTAACAAGGCTAACCAAGCTAACAAGGCTAAACAAGCTAACAAGGATAACCAAGCTAACAAGGTTAACCAGGCTAACAAGGCTAACCAAGCTAACAAGGTTAACCGGGCTAACAAGGCTAACCAAGGTTAACTAGGCTAACCAGGCTAACAAGGATAACCAGGCTAATCAAGCTAATGATGATAACCAAACCAACCAATCAGATGAATCATCTGCTTGGTTTGCTAACGAGGCTAACTAGGCTAACCAGGCTAACCAAGCTAATTAGGCTAACCAGGCTAACAGGGCTCACCAGGCGAACAAGGCTAACCAGGCTAACTAGGCTAACCAGTCTAACGTAACCATGGTAGCAGGAAGTAAAAGATTTAAAGTGACTCCTTTAGACAAGGGGTGTCAGACTGTCCTCAAACGGACGGTGTCGGAGAAAGACCTGACCCTACTCTCGTGTCTCTGCTCTTTCTCTGGTCTCTCTCTGGTCTCTCTCTCTGTCTCTCTCTGGTCTCTCTCTGCTCTCTCTCTGCTCTCTCTCCTCTCTCTCTCCTCTCTCTCTGGTCTTTCTCTCTCCTCTCTCTCTGGTCTCTCTCTGGTCTCTCTCTGGTCTCTCTCTGGTCTCTCTCTCTCCTCTCTCTCTGCTCTCTCTCTGGTCTCTCTCTGCTCTCTCTCCTCTCTCTCTCCTCTCTCTCTGGTCTCTCTCTGGTCTCTCTCTGGTCTCTCTCTCTCCTCTCTCTCTGGTCTCTCTCTGGTCTCTCTCTGCTCTCTCTCCTCTCTCTCTCCTCTCTGGTCTCTCTCTCTCCTCTCTCTCTGGTCTCTCTCTGGTCTCTCTCTGGTCTCTCTCTCTGCTCTCTCTCTGGTCTCTCTCTGGTCTCTCTCTCCTCTCTCTCTCCTCTCTCTCTGGTCTCTCTCTCTCCTCTCTCTCTGGTCCCTCTCTGGTCTCTCTCTCCTCTCTCTCTGGTCTCTCTCTCTCCTCTCTCTCTGGTCTCTCTCTGGTCTCTCTCTCTCCTCTCTCTCTGGTCTCTCTCTCCTCTCTCTCTGGTCTCTCTCTGGTCTCTCTCTCTCCTCTCTCTCTGGTCTCTCTCTGCTCTCTCTCTGCTCTCTCTCCTCTCTCTCTCCTCTCTCTCTGGTCTCTCTCTGGTCTCTCTCTGGTCTCTCTCTGGTCTCTCTCTGGTCCCTCTGAGACACACAGTCCCTCCACAGCGTATCCATATGGAGAAGCAGCGGCTCTACTCCGAGCTCCTCACCGTAATGTCCTTTCGTTCATTACCCAAAGGTCACGATAAAGAGTTGAGGGAATGAACGAAGAGCTCTGACTGAAGACGCTGCTACCCTCCTCCTCTGTGCTCTCACCTGTTTTCTCGCAGCCTTCCTCGTCGCTGTGGTCGGTGCAGTCGTCTTCACCGTCACATCGCCATGACAACCGCACACAGCGACCCGTCCCACAACGGAACTGGTCAGCGGTGCACATGGACGTGGCTACAAGAGGAGAGAGGGAGAGAGAGAGGGAGGGAGAGGGGGAGAGGCAGAAAAGAAAGAGGGAGAGGGAGAGAGAGCGAGAAAAAAGAGAGGGAGAGGGAGGTGGAGAGAGGGAGGGAGGGAGAGGGGGAGAGGAGAGAGAGATTTAGAGAAGAGGGGGATGGAGGGAGAGAAAAGAGGGGGGAGAAGGGAGGGAGAAAAGAGAGGGGGAGAAAAGAGGGGGAAGGAGAGTGAGGGAGAACAGAGAGAGAGTTAGAGAAGAGAGGCATGGAGGGAGAAAAGAGAGAGAGTTGGAGAGGGAGGGAGAGAAGAGGGGGAGAGGGACCGGAGAAAAGAGAGTGAGGGAGATAGAAGAGAGACGGAGGGAGAGAAGAGAGCGAAGAGACAGTGGGAGAAGGGAGGGAAAGATAAGAGAGAAAGGGAAAGGAAGGGAGAGAATAGAGAGAATAGAGAGGGGGAGAGAAGGGAGGAGTGTTACTCTCTGCATCAACACGACATAAACCTGTGTCTAAAATGACTCACTGCAGTTCCTCTCGTCTGATTGGTCGTCACAGTCGAACTCGCCGTCGCACCTCCATCCGGCGTTTATGCACATTCCGCTGCTGCACATGAACTCCACCGAGCGGCACGGCTGGTGCGAGGCTGCAACCGGGACAACGCCGTTACTGACAGAGTGTGACATCACCACAGTGTGACATCACCACAGTGTGACATCACCACAGTGTGACATCACCATAGCCTTGAAGCTGAAGATTCAAACGTAAGCTAGATTGAGCCAGTTTCCGTATATGGGCATTTGTTCCGATGGCGGTGGCTTCAGGGGCGTGTTGCTAGGACGGTTGCTAAGGTATTTGCTAAGGTGTTAGCAACCGCCAACCCTTGTGGAGCCGTTAGGAGTTAACTAGGCTTCTTCGACAATAAGGTAAGTGAGGGACTCCCGGTCTCTCACTCCCGGTCTCTCACTCCCGGTCTCTCACTCTCGGTCTCTCACTCCCGGTCTCTCACTCCCGGTCTCTCACTCCCGGTCTCTCAATCCCGGTCTCTCACTCCCGGTCTCTCACTCCCGGTCTCTCACTCCCGGTCTCTCACTCCTGGTCTCTCACTCCCGGTCTCTCACTCCCGGTCTCTCACTCCCGGTCTCTCACTCCCGGTCTCTCACTCCCGGTCTCTCACTCCCGGTCTCTCACTCCCGGTCTCTCACTCCCGGTCTCTCAGTCTGGGTCTCTCACTCTGGGTTTCTCACTCTGGGTCTCTCACTCTGGGTCTCTCACTCTGGGTCTCTCACTCTGGGTCTCTCACTCTGGGTCTCTCACTCTGGGTCTCTCACTCTGGGTCTCTCACTCCCGGTCTCTGCCTCCCGGTCTCTCACTCCCGGTCTCTCACTCCCGGTCTCTCACTCCCGGTCTCTCACTCCCGGTCTCTCACTCCCGGTCTCTCACTCCCGGTCTCTCACTCCCGGTCTCTCACTCCCGGTCTCTCACTCCCGGTCTCTCACTCTGGGTCTCTCACTCTGGGTCTCTCACTCTGGGTCTCTGGTGCGAGGCTGCAACCGGGACAACGCCGTTACTGACAGAGTGTGACATCACCACAGTGTGACATCACCACAGTGTGACATCACCACAGTGTGACATCACCATAGCCTTGAAGCTGAAGATTCAAACGTAAGCTAGATTGAGCCAGTTTCCGTATATGGGCATTTGTTCCGATGGCGGTGGCTTCAGGGGCGTGTTGCTAGGACGGTTGCTAAGGTATTTGCTAAGGTGTTAGCAACCGCCAACCCTTGTGGAGCCGTTAGGAGTTAACTAGGCTTCTTCGACAATAAGGTAAGTGAGGGACTCCCGGTCTCTCACTCCCGGTCTCTCACTCCCGGTCTCTCACTCCCGGTCTCTCACTCTCGGTCTCTCACTCCCGGTCTCTCACTCCCGGTCTCTCACTCCCGGTCTCTCACTCCGGTCTCTCACTCCCGGTCTCTCACTCCCGGTCTCTCAGTCTGGGTCTCTCACTCTGGGTTTCTCACTCTGGGTCTCTCACTCTGGGTCTCTCACTCTGGGTCTCTCACTCTGGGTCTCTCACTCTGGGTCTCTCACTCTGGGTCTCTCACTCTGGGTCTCTCACTCCTGGGTCTCTGCCTCCCGGTCTCTCACTCCCGGTCTCTCACTCCCGGTCTCTCACTCCCGGTCTCTCACTCCCGGTCTCTCACTCCCGGTCTCTCACTCCCGGTCTCTCACTCCCGGTCTCTCACTCCCGGTCTCTCACTCTGGGTCTCTCACTCTGGGTCTCTCACTCTGGGTCTCTGGTGCGAGGCTGCAACCGGGACAACGCCGTTACTGACAGAGTGTGACATCACCACAGTGTGACATCACCACAGTGTGACATCACCATAGCCTTGAAGCTGAAGATTCAAACGTAAGCTAGATTGAGCCAGTTTCCGTATATGGGCATTTGTTCCGATGGCGGTGGCTTCAGGGGCGTGTTGCTAGGACGGTTGCTAAGGTATTTGCTAAGGTGTTAGCAACCGCCAACCCTTGTGGAGCCGTTAGGAGTTAACTAGGCTTCTTCGACAATAAGGTAAGTGAGGGACTCCCGGTCTCTCACTCCTGGTCTCTCACTCCCGGTCTCTCACTCCCGGTCTCTCACTCCCGGTCTCTCACTCTCGGTCTCTCACTCCCGGTCTCTCATCCGGTCTCTCACTCCCGGTCTCTCACTCCCGGTCTCTCACTCCCGATCTCTCACTCTGGGTCTCTCACTCTGGGTCTCTCACTCCCGGTCTCTCACTCTCGGTCTCTCACTCCCGGTCTCTCACTCCCGGTCTCTCACTCCCGGTCTCTCACTCCCGGTCTCTCAGTCTGGGTCTCTCACTCTGGGTCTCTCACTCTGGGTCTCTCACTCTGGGTCTCTCACTCTGGGTCTCTCACTCTGGGTCTCTCACTCTGGGTCTCTCACTCTGGGTCTCTCACTCTGGGTCTCTCACTCCCGGTCTCTGCCTCCCGGTCTCTCACTCCCGGTCTCTCACTCCCGGTCTCTCACTCCCGGTCTATCACTCCCGGTCTCTCACTCCCGGTCTCTCACTCCCGGTCTCTCACTCCCGGTCTCTCACTCCCGGTCTCTCACTCCCGGTCTCTCACTCCCGGTCTCTCACTCTGGGTCTCTCACTCTGGGTCTCTCACTCTGGGTCTCTGGTGCGAGGCTGCAACCGGGACAACGCCGTTACTGACAGAGTGTGACATCACCACAGTGTGACATCACCACAGTGTGACATCACCACAGTGTGACATCACCATAGCCTTGAAGCTGAAGATTCAAACGTAAGCTAGATTGAGCCAGTTTCCGTATATGGGCATTTGTTCCGATGGCGGTGGCTTCAGGGGCGTGTTGCTAGGACGGTTGCTAAGGTATTTGCTAAGGTGTTAGCAACCGCCAACCCTTGTGGAGCCGTTAGGAGTTAACTAGGCTTCTTCGACAATAAGGTAAGTGAGGGACTCCCGGTCTCTCACTCCTGGTCTCTCACTCCCGGTCTCTCACTCCTGGTCTCTCACTCCCGGTCTCTCACTCCTGGTCTCTCACTCCCGGTCTCTCACTCCCCGGTCTCTCACTCCCGGTCTCTCACTCCGGTCTCTCACTCCCGGTCTCTCACTCCCGGTCTCTCACTCCGGTCTCTCACTCTGGGTCTCTCACTCCCGGTCTCTCACTCCCGGTCTCTCACTCCCGGTCTCTCAGTCTGGGTCTCTCACTCTGGGTTTCTCACTCTGGGTCTCTCACTCTGGGTCTCTCACTCTGGGTCTCTCACTCTGGGTATCTCACTTTGGGGTCTCTCACTCTGGGTCTCTCACTCCCGGTCTCTCACTCCCGGTCTCTCACTCCCGGTCTCTCACTCCCGGTCTCTCACTCTGGGTCTCTCACTCTGGGTCTCTCACTCTGGGTCTCTGGTGCGAGGCTGCAACCGGGACAACGCCGTTACTGACAGAGTGTGACATCACCACAGTGTGACATCACCACAGTGTGACATCACCACAGTGTGACATCACCATAGCCTTGAAGCTGAAGATTCAAACGTAAGCTAGATTGAGCCAGTTTCCGTATATGGGCATTTGTTCCGATGGCGGTGGCTTCAGGGGCGTGTTGCTAGGACGGTTGCTAAGGTATTTGCTAAGGTGTTAGCAACCGCCAACCCTTGTGGAGCCGTTAGGAGTTAACTAGGCTTCTTCGACAATAAGGTAAGTGAGGGACTCCCGGTCTCTCACTCCCGGTCTCTCACTCCCGGTCTCTCACTCTCGGTCTCTCACTCCCGGTCTCTCACTCCCGGTCTCTCACTCACCCCGTCTCTCACTCCCGGTCTCTCACTCCCGGTCTCTCACTCCCGGTCTCTCACTCCCGGTCTCTCAGTCTGGGTCTCTCACTCTGGGTTTCTCACTCTGGGTCTCTCACTCTGGGTCTCTCACTCTGGGTCTCTCACTCTGGGTCTCTCACTCTGGGTCTCTCACTCTGGGTCTCTCACTCCCGGTCTCTGCCTCCCGGTCTCTCACTCCCGGTCTCTCACTCCCGGTCTCTCACTCCCGGTCTCTCACTCCCGGTCTCTCACTCCCGGTCTCTCACTCCCGGTCTCTCACTCCCGGTCTCTCACTCCCGGTCTCTCACTCTGGGTCTCTCACTCTGGGTCTCTCACTCTGGGTCTCTGGTGCGAGGCTGCAACCGGGACAACGCCGTTACTGACAGAGTGTGACATCACCACAGTGTGACATCACCACAGTGTGACATCACCATAGCCTTGAAGCTGAAGATTCAAACGTAAGCTAGATTGAGCCAGTTTCCGTATATGGGCATTTGTTCCGATGGCGGTGGCTTCAGGGGCGTGTTGCTAGGACGGTTGCTAAGGTATTTGCTAAGGTGTTAGCAACCGCCAACCCTTGTGGAGCCGTTAGGAGTTAACTAGGCTTCTTCGACAATAAGGTAAGTGAGGGACTCCCGGTCTCTCACTCCTGGTCTCTCACTCCCGGTCTCTCACTCCCGGTCTCTCACTCCCGGTCTCTCACTCTCGGTCTCTCACTCCCGGTCTCTCACTCCCGGTCTCTCACTCCCGGTCTCTCACTCCCGGTCTCTCACTCCCGGTCTCTCACTCTGGGTTTCTCACTCTGGGTCTCTCACTCTGGGTCTCTCACTCCCGGTCTCTCACTCTCGGTCTCTCACTCCCGGTCTCTCACTCCCGGTCTCTCACTCCCGGTCTCTCACTCCCGGTCTCTCAGTCTGGGTCTCTCACTCTGGGTCTCTCACTCTGGGTCTCTCACTCTGGGTCTCTCACTCTGGGTCTCTCACTCTGGGTCTCTCACTCTGGGTCTCTCACTCTGGGTCTCTCACTCTGGGTCTCTCACTCCCGGTCTCTGCCTCCCGGTCTCTCACTCCCGGTCTCTCACTCCCGGTCTCTCACTCCCGGTCTCTCACTCCCGGTCTCTCACTCCCGGTCTCTCACTCCGGTCTCTCACTCGTCTCTCACTCCCGGTCTCTCACTCCCGGTCTCTCACTCCCGGTCTCTCTCCCGGTCTCTCACTCTGGGTCTCTCACTCTGGGTCTCTGGTGCGAGGCTGCAACCGGGACAACGCCGTTACTGACAGAGTGTGACATCACCACAGTGTGACATCACCACAGTGTGACATCACCACAGTGTGACATCACCATAGCCTTGAAGCTGAAGATTCAAACGTAAGCTAGATTGAGCCAGTTTCCGTATATGGGCATTTGTTCCGATGGCGGTGGCTTCAGGGGCGTGTTGCTAGGACGGTTGCTAAGGTATTTGCTAAGGTGTTAGCAACCGCCAACCCTTGTGGAGCCGTTAGGAGTTAACTAGGCTTCTTCGACAATAAGGTAAGTGAGGGACTCCCGGTCTCTCACTCCTGGTCTCTCACTCCCGGTCTCTCACTCCTGGTCTCTCACTCCCGGTCTCTCACTCCTGGTCTCTCACTCCCGGTCTCTCACTCCCGGTCTCTCACTCCCGGTCTCTCACTCCCGGTCTCTCACTCCCGGTCTCTCACTCCCGGTCTCTCACTCCGGGTCTCTCACTCTGGGTCTCTCACTCCCGGTCTCTCACTCCCGGTCTCTCACTCCCGGTCTCTCAGTCTGGGTCTCTCACTCTGGGTTTCTCACTCTGGGTCTCTCACTCTGGGTCTCTCACTCTGGGTCTCTCACTCTGGGTATCTCACTTTGGGTCTCTCACTCTGGGTCTCTCACTCCCGGTCTCTCACTCCCGGTCTCTCACTCCCGGTCTCTCACTCCCGGTCTCTGCCTCCCGGTCTCTCACTCCCGGTCTCTCACTCCCGGTCTCTCACTCCCGGTCTCTCACTCCCGGTCTCTCACTCCCGGTCTCTCACTCCCGGTCTCTCACTCCCGGTCTCTCACTCCCGGTCTCTCACTCTGGGTCTCTCACTCTGGGTCTCTCACTCTGGGTCTCTCACTCTGGGTCTCTCACTCTGGGTCTCTCACTCTGGGTCTCTCACTCCCGGTCTCTCACTCCCGGTCTCTCACTCCCAGTCTCTCACTCCCAGTCTCTCACTTCCAGTCTCTCACTTACAGTCTCTCACTTCCGGTCTTTCACTTCCGGTCTCTCACTCCCGGTCTCTCACTCCTGGTCTCTCACTCCCAGTTTCTCACTCCCGGTCTCTCACTCTGGGTCTCTCAATCCTGGTCTCTCACTCTCTGGTCTCTCACTCTGGGTCTCTCACTCCTGGTCTCTTGGCCTCCCGGGCTTCTGCGTCCTGGTCTCTCAGTCCTGGTCTCAGTCCTGGTCTCAGTCCTGGTCTCAGTCCTGGTCTCAGTCCTGGTCTCAGTCCTGGTCTCAGTCCTGGTCTCGGGTCCTGGTCTCGGGTCCTGGTCTCGGTCCTGGTTTCGGGTCCTGGTTTCGGGTCCTGGTCTCGGGTCCTGGTCTCCGTCCAGTTCTCAGTCCTGGTCTCGGTCCTGGTCTCAGTCCTGGTCTCAGTCCTGGTCTCGGTCCTGGTCTCAGTCCTGGTCTCGGTCCTGGTCTCAGTCCTGGTCTCAGTCCTGGTCTCAGTCCTGGTCTCGGCCCTGGTCTCGGCCCTGGTCTCAGTCCTGGTCTCAGTCCTGGTCTCGGTCCTGGTCTCGGCCCTGGTCTCGGCCCTGGTCTCGGCCCTGGTCTCGGCCCTGGTCTCGGCCCTGGTCTCGGCCCTGGTCTCACTCACAGCAGTCGGACTCGTCAGACCAGTCTCCGCAGTCATCGTCGCCGTCACAGTGGTAAATGTCCAGGATGCAGCGACCGTAAGCGCACTGGAACTCCTCAGAGCTGCAGGTCGCCGGCATCACATCTGAGGCTGAAACAGAAACCATTAGGTCAGACCAGAGAGAGACCAGAGAGAGACCAGAGGGAGACCAGAGGGAGACCAGAGGGAGACCAGAGAGAGACCAGAGAGAGACCAGAGAGAGACCAGAGAGAGACCAGAGGGAGACCAGAGGGAGACCAGAGAGAGACCAGAGAGAGACCAGAGGGAGACCAGAGGGAGACCAGAGAGAGACCAGAGAGAGACCAGAGAGAGACCAGAGAGAGACCAGAGGGAGACCAGAGGGAGACCAGAGGGAGACCAGAGAGAGACCAGAGAGAGACCAGAGAGAGACCAGAGAGAGACCAGAGGGAGACCAGAGGGAGACCAGAGAGAGACCAGAGAGAGACCAGAGAGAGACCAGAGAGAGACCAGAGGGAGACCAGAGGGAGACCAGAGAGAGACCAGAGAGAGACCAGAGAGAGACCAGAGAGAGACCAGAGGGAGACCAGAGAGAGACCAGAGAGAGACCAGAGAGAGACCAAAGAGAGACCAGAGAGAGACCAGAGGGAGACCAGAGGGAGACCAGAGAGAGACCAGAGGGAGACCAGAGAGAGACAAAAGAGAGACCAGAGAGAGACCAGAGGGAGACCAGAGGGAGACCAGAGAGAGACCAGAGAGAGACCAGAGAGAGACCAAAGAGAGACCAGAGAGAGACCAGAGGGAGACCAGAGGGAGACCAGAGAGAGACCAGAGAGAGACCAGAGGGAGACCAAAGAGAGACCAGAGAGAGACCAGAGAGAGACCAGAGAGAGACCAGAGGGAGACCAGAGAGAGACCAGAGGGAGACCAGAGAGAGACCAGAGGGAGACCAGAGAGAGACCAGAGAGAGACCAGAGAGAGACCAGAGAGAGACCAAAGAGAGACCAGAGAGAGACCAGAGAGAGACCAGAGGGAGACCAGAGAGAGACCAGAGGGAGACCAGAGAGAGACCAGAGGGAGACCAGAGGGAGACCAGAGAGAGACCAGAGAGAGACCAAAGAGAGACCAGAAAGACACCAGAGAGAGACCAGGGAGAGACCAGAAAGGGACCAGAGAAAAACCAGAGAGAAACCAGAGAGAGAGTAGACCAGAGAGAGAGTAGACCAGAGAGAGAGTAAACCAGAGAGAGTAAACCAGAGAGAGAGTAGACCAGAGAGAGAGTAGGTGTCTGTGGTGAGTGAGAGACTTACGGCAGTTTTCTTCGTCGGAGCCGTCCTTACAGTCTGTGTCTCCGTCACAAAACCAGTGCTCGGCAATACAGCTCCCATCGGTGCAACGGAACTCTTTATCTGAGCATTTACGCATGTCTGCAAGAGAGAGTTAGCATGTTAGCATTGTCCCCCTGTATACAGTCTGTGATAGCATGTTAGCATTGTCCATCTGTATACAGTCTGTGTTAGCATGTTAGCATTGTCCATCTGTATACAGGCTGTGTTAGCATTAGCATCTGTTTACAGCCTGTGTTAGCATTGTCCATCTGTATACAGGCTGTGTTAGCATTAGCATCTGTTTACAGCCTGTGTTAGCATGTTAGCATGTTAGCACTGACCACACTGCTCGTCGCTGTTGTCTCCACAGTCGTTGTCCCCGTCACAGTGCCACAGGCTGCGGATACAGTAGCCGTTCTGACAGTGGAACTCGTCCTCCTCACACTCTCTGGGAGCTGGAACCAACAAGATAAGATAAACAACAACAACAACAACAACAAAACATGACATTTTCTCTTATTTCCTGTTCATTGGCACATGGTAGTATCAGGGGTGTAATTAAAACTATTTCATAGACAAATCATACGTGATGGAGAGGGTTACGGATATGCTGTTTGCCTATGGCCCAAATATAATCTTTGTTGTGCTCTCTGGTCTCTCTCTCTGGTCTCTCTCTCTGGTCTCTCTCTCTGGTCTCGCTCTCTGGTCTCGCTCTCTGGTCTCTCTCTCTGGTCTCGCTCTCTGGTCTCGCTCTCTGGTCTCGCTCTCTGGTCTCTCTCTGGTCTCGCTCTCTGGTCTCGCTCTCTGGTCTCTCTCTGGTCTCTCTCTCTGGTCTCGCTCTCTGGTCTCGCTCTCTGGTCTCGCTCTCTGGTCTCGCTCTCTGGTCTCGCTCTCTGGTCTCGCTCTCATGGTCTCGCTCTCTGGTCTCGCTCTCTGGTCTCGCTCTCTGGTCTCGCTCTCTGGTCTCGCTCTCTGGTCTCGCTCTCTGGTCTCTCTCTGGTCTCTCTCTGGTCTCTCTCTGGTCTCTCTCTGGTCTCTCCTGGTCTCTCCTGGTCTCTCCTGGTCTCTCTCTGGAGCGTTTAGAGCTTTCATTAACACAACATGTGACCATTGTGACCGCTGCAGGCGAGAGAAACCCTCTGTGGCTTTGGATCTAGTGGGTCTATAGTGGAGAAGCAGCATACCAGAGAGACTGGAGAGAGAGACCAGAGAGAGAGACCAGAGAGAGAGACCAGAGAGAGACCAGAGAGAGACCAGAGAGGGACTCAGAGGAGAGACCAGAGAGAGACCAGAGAGAGAGACCAGAGGAGAGACCAAGAGAGAGACCAGAGAGAGAGACCAGAGAGAGACCAGAGACGAGACCAGAGAGAGACCAGAGAGAGACCAGAGAGAGAGACCAGAGAGAGACCAGAGAGAGAGACCAGAGAGCGAAGACCAGAGAGAGAGACCAGAGAGAGACCAGAGAGAGAGACCAGAGAGAGACCTGAGAGAGAGACCAGAGAGAGAGACCAGAGAGAGACCAGAGAGAGAGACCAGAGAGAGACCAGAGAGAGACCAGGAGAGAGACACACAGAGAGACCAGAGAGAGACCAGAGAGAGACCAAGAGAGACCAGAGAGAGAGACCAGAGAGAGACCCAGAAGAGACCAGAGAGAGACCAGAGAGAGAGACCAGAGAGAGACCAGACCAGAGAGAGACCAGACCAGAGAGACCAGAGAGAGACCAGAGAGACCAGAGAGAGACCAGAGAGAGACCAGAGAGAGACCAGAGAGAGACCAGAGAGACCAGAGAGAGACCAGAGAGAGACCAGAGAGGACCAGAGAGAGACCAGAGAGAGAGACCAGAGAGAGAGACCAGAGAGAGACCAGAGAGAGACCAGAGAGAGAGACCAGAGAGGAGACCAGAGAGAGACCAGTAGAGACCAGAGAGAGACCAGAAGAGAGACCAGAGAGAGACCAGTAGAGACCAGAGAGAGACCAGAGAGAGACCAGAGAGAGAGACCAGAGAGAGACCAGAGAGAGAGACCAGAGAGAGAGACCAGAGAGAGACCAGAGAGAGAGACCAGAGAGAGACCAGAGAGAGAGACCAGAGAGAGACCAGAGAGAGACCAGAGAGAGACCAGAGAGAGACCAGAGAGAGACCAGAGAGAGACCAGAGAGAGAGACCAGAGAGAGACCAGAGAGAGAGACCAGAGAGAGACCAGAGAGAGACCAGAGAGAGACAGAGAGAGACCAGCTTTGACAGTAACATGTAGGTAATCTAGAAGTGCTCTTGTAACAGTCACTTTTGGTGGCGAGACCAAGAGAGACGATAAGCCATGGAGAGTGACACCAAGAGGAAGAGATTAACTGGGTGGACCTAAATGAGAGAGACCAGGACTGAGGCTGAGACGAGGACTGAGGTAGACCAGAGAGAGACCAGCAGCTGAGAACCAGATGAGGAGACCAGAGAGAGAGTCCAAGAGTGAGACTCAGAAACTGCTATCTCTTGAGCGTGCCAGAGACGGCAGGTGGGACCAGATGAGAGCAGATTCTGGCAGTCACTTCACAGACCAGGTCAGACCGAGACTACATAGACCAGAGACCAGAGAGAGACCAGAGAGAGACCAGAGAGAGACCAGAGAGAGAGACCAGAGAGAGACCAGAGAGAGACCAGAGAGAGACACAGAGAGAGACCAGAGAGAGAGACCAGAGAGTAGACCAGAGAGAGAGCCAGAGAGAGAGACCAGAGAGAGACCAGAGAGAGACCAGAGAGAGAGACCAGAGAGAGGACCAGAGAGAGACCAGAAGAGAGACCAGAGAGAGACCAGAGAGAGACCGAGAGAGACAGAGAGAGACCAGAGAGAGACCAGAGAGGACCAGAGAGAGACCAGAGAGAGACCAGAGAGGAGACCAGAGAGAGAGACTTCCGAGAAGAGCCGTGAGCAATTCCTTATATAGGTGACTCCTGATTCAGGATGGTCCTCTCTTCAGTGATGGCTCGTCTAGTGATGGTCTCTTCGTCACAGTGAGTCTCCTGAGTCTCAGTGATGGTCATCTGGCTCAGTGATGTATGAGCTGAGACTGTAATCACCTGAGGACCCAAAGTCTCTTAAAATCCATGATTACAGTTGTGCTTTTGCTGCTTTGGTTTCTGCATAGTCTATCTAGACTGTGGTTTGTGTTGATGGTACAAGTCTGGCTGTAACAGTGTCTTGCCAGGACTAACTCGACAGCTACAGCTGAGGATGGTGACACATGTCTGGCGGATTGAACTCCTGAACATCTGGCTCTCTCTTGCTCTCTCTATGGTCTCTCTCTCTGTCCCTCTTGGTCTCTCTCTATGGTCTCTCTCTGTCTCTCTCTGGTCTCTCTCTGGTCTCTCTCTCTGGTCTCTCTCTGGTCTCTCTCTCTGGTCTCTCTCTGGTCTCTTTCTGGTCTCTCTCTGGTCTCTCTCTGGGTCTCTCTCGGTCTCTCTCTGGTCTCTCTCTGGTCTCTCTCTGGTCTCTCTCTGGTCTCTCTCTGGTCTCTCTCTGGTCTCTCTCTGGTCTCTCTCTGGTCTCTCTCTGGTCTCTCTGGTCTCTCTCTGGTCTCTCTCTGGTCTCTCTCTGGTCTCTCTCTGGTCTCTCTCTGGTCTCTCTCTGGTCTCTCTCTGGTCTCTCTCTGGTCTCTCTCTGGTCTCTCTCTGGTCTCTCTCTCTGGTCTCTCTCTCTGGTCTCTCTCTGGTCTCTCTCTCTGGTCTCTCTCTGGTCTCTCTGGTCTCTCTCTCTGGTCTCTCTCTGGTCTCTCTCTGGTCTCTCTCTGGTCTCTCTCTGGTCTCTCTCTGGTCTCTCTCTCTGGTCTCTCTCTGGTCTCTCTCTGGTCTCTCTCTGGTCTCTCTGGTCTCTCTCTGGTCTCTCTCTCTGGTCTCTCTCTGGTCTCTCTCTGGTCTCTCTCTGGTCTCTCTCTGGTCTCTCTCTGGTCTCTCTCTGGTCTCTCTCTGGTCTCTCTCTCTGGTCTCTCTCTGGTCTCTCTCTGGTCTCTCTCTGGTCTCTCTCTCTGGTCTCTCTCTGGTCTCTCTCTCTGGTCTCTCTCTGGTCTCTCTCTGGTCTTCTCTGGTCTCTCTCTGGTCTCTCTCTGGTCTCTCTCTGGTCTCACTCTGGTCTCTCTCTGGACTCTCTCTGGTCTCTCTCTGGTCTCTCTGGTCTCTCTCTGGTCTCTCTCTGGTCTCTCTCTCTGGTCTCTCTCTGGTCTCTCTCTCTGGTCTCTCTCTGGTCTCTCTCTGGTCTCTCTCTGGTCTCTCTCTCTGGTCTCTCTCTGGTCTCTCTCTCTGGTCTCTCTCTCTGGTCTCTCTCTCTGGTCTCTCTCTGGTCTCTCTCTGGTCTCTCTCTGGCTCTCGGTCTCTCTCTGGTCTCTCTCTGGTCTCTCTCTGGTCTCTCTCTGGTCTCTCTCTGGTCTCTCTCTGGTCTCTCTCTGGTCTCTCTCTGGTCTCTCTCTGGTCTCTCTCTCTGGTCTCTCTCTGGTCTCTCTCTGGTCTCTCTCTGGTCTGTCTCTGGTCTCTCTCTGGTCTCTCTCTGGTCTCTCTCTCTGGTCTCTCTCTGGTCTCTCTCTGGTCTCACGCTGTCTCTGCTCTCTCTGGTCTCTCTCTGGTCTCTCTCTCTCTGGTCTCTCTATGGTCTCTCTCTGGTCTCTCTCTGGTCTCTCTCTGGTCTCTCTGGTCTCTCTCTCTCTGGTCTCTCTCTGGTCTCTCTCTGGTCTCTCTCTGGTCTCTCTGGTCTCTCTCTGGTCTCTCTCTGGACTTTCTCTGGTCTCTCTCTATCTGGTCTCTCTCTGGTCTCTCTCTGGTCTCTCTCTGGTCTCTCTCTGGTCTCTCTCTGGTCTCTCTCTGGTCTCTCTCTGGTCTCTCTCTGGTCTCTCTCTGGTCTCTCTCTGGTCTCTCTCTGGTCTCTCTCTGGTCTCTCTCTGGTCTCTCTCTGGTCTCTCTCTGGTCGCTCGCTCTCTGGTCTCTCTCTGGTCTCTCTCTGGTCTCTCTCTGGTCTCTCTCTGGTCTCTCTCTGGTCTCTCTCTGGTCTCTCTCTGGTCTCTCTCTGGTCTCTCTCTGGTCCCTCTCTGGTCTCTCTCTGGTCTCTCTCTGGTCTCTCTCTGGTCCCTCTCTGGTCTCTCTCTGGTCTCTCTCTGGTCTCTTCTGGTCCTCTCTCTGGTCTCTCTCTGGTTTCTCTCTGGTCTCTCTCTGGTCTCTCTCTGGTCTCTTCTCTGGTCTCTCTCTGGTCTCTCTCTGGTCTCTCTCTGGTCTCTCTCTGGTCTCTCTCTGGTCTCTCTCGCTGGTCTCTCTCTCTGGTCTCTCTCTGGTCTCTCTCTGGTCTCTCTCTGGTCTCTCTCTGGTCTCTCTCTGGTCTCTCTCTGGTCTCTCTCTGGTCTCTCTCTGGTCTCTCTCTGGTCTCTCTCGTGGTTCTCTCCCTCTCTCTCTCCCTCTGCTCTCTCTCTCTCCCTCTGCTCTCTCTCTCTCCCTCTGCTCTCCTCTCTCTCTCACCCTCTGCTCTCTCTCTCTGTCTCTCCCTCTGCTCTCGCTCTCTCACCCTCTGCTCTCTCTCTCTGCTCTCACCCTCTGCTCTCTCTCTCTGCCCTCTCTCTCTCTCTGCTCTCTCTCTCTCTCTCACCCTCTGCTCTCTCTCTCTCTCTCTCACCCTCTGCTCTCTCTCTCTCTCACCCTCTGCTCTCTCTCTCTCACCCTCTGCTCTCTCTCTCTGTCTCTCCCTCTGCTCTCGCTCTCTCACCCTCTGCTCTCTCTCTCTGCTCTCACCCTCTGCTCTGCTCTCTACTCTCTCCCTCTGCTCTCTCTCTCTGCTCTCTCCCTCTGCTCTCACCCTCTGCTCTCTCTCTCTACTCTCTCTCTCTGCTCTCTCCCTCTGCCCTCTGCTCTCTGCTCTCTCCCTCTACTCTCTCCCTCTACTCTCTCCCTCTGCCCTCTGCTCTCTCTCTCTCCCTCCCTCTGCTCTCTCTCTCTGCTCTCTCCCTCTTCTCTCTCCCTCTCTCTCTCACTCTACTCTCTGCTCTCTCTCTCTGCTCTCTCCCTCTACTCTCTCCCTCTGCCCTCTGCTCTCTCTCTCTGCTCTCTCCCTCTACTCTCCCTCTCTCTCTCCCTCCCTCTGCCCTCTGCTCTCTACTCTCTCCCTCTGCCCTCTGCTCTCTCTCTCTCCCTCCCTCTGCTCTCTCTCTCTGCTCTCTCCCTCTACTCTCTCCCTCTGCCCTCTGCTCTCTCTCTCTGCTCTCTCCCTCTTCTCTCTCCCTCTCTCTCTCCCTCTGCCCTCTGCTCTCTCTCTCTGCTCTCTCCCTCTTCTCTCTCCCTCTCTCTCTCCCTCTGCCCTCTGCTCTCTCTCTCTGCTCTCTCCCTCTTCTCTCTCCCTCTCTCTCTCCCTCTGCCCTCTGCTCTCTCTCTCTGCTCTCTCCCTCTTCTCTCTCCCTCTGCCCTCTGCTCTCTCTCTCTGCTCTCTCCCTCTTCTCTCTCCCTCTCTCTCTCCCTCTGCCCTCTGCTCTCTCTCTCTGCTCTCTCCCTCTTCTCTCTCCCTCTGCCCTCTGCTCTCTCTCTCTGCTGCCTGTAGTTTAACCCGGTGTCATGTGTGTGTTGCAGCAGCAGGGGGCAGTGCTGAGTGCTCGTGTGGGAAGAACCACTTCACGTGCGCAGTCTCTGCGTTCGGAGAGTGCACGTGCATCCCGGCGCAGTGGCAGTGCGACGGCGACAACGACTGCGGAGACCACAGCGACGAGGACGGATGCAGTGAGTGACCACAACATGCCGTGACCGCAACATGCCGTCTTCACTCAGAGTGACCACAACATGCCGTCTGCACTCAGAGTGACCACAACATGCCGTCTGCACTCAGAGTGACCACAACATGCCGTGACCACAACATGCCGTCTGCACTCAGAGTGACCACAACATGCCGTGACCACAACATGCCGTCTGCACTCAGAGTGACCACAACATGCCGTGACCACAACATGCCGTCTGCACTCAGAGTGACCACAACATGCCGTCTGCACTCAGAGTGACCACAACATGCCGTCTGCACTCAGAGTGACCACAACATGCCGTCTTCACTCAGAGTGACCACAACATGCCGTCTTCACTCAGAGTGACCACAACATGCCGTCTGCACTCAGAGTGACCACAACATGCCGTGACCGCAACATGCCGTCTTCACTCAGAGTGACCACAACATGCCGTCTTCACTCAGAGTGACCACAACATGCCGTCTGCACTCAGAGTGACCACAACATGCCGTCTGCACTCAGAGTGACCACAACATGCCGTCTTCACTCAGAGTGACCACAACATGCCGTGACCACAACATGCCGTCTGCACTCAGAGTGACCACAACATGCCGTGACCACAACATGCCGTCTGCACTCAGAGTGACCACAACATGCCGTCTGCACTCAGAGTGACCACAACATGCCGTCTTCACTCAGAGTGACCACAACATGCCGTCTCTGCACTCAGCACTCAGAGTGACACAACATCAGCCGTGACCACAACATGCCACAACATCTGCACTCAGAGTGACCACAACATGCCGTCTGCACTCAGAGTGACCACAAACATGCCGTCTGCACTCAGAGTGACCACAACATGCCGTCTGCACTCAGAGTGACCACAACATGTAGAGTGACCGCAACATGCCGTCTGCACTCAAGTGACCAAACATGCCGTGACCACAACATGCCGTCTGCACTCAGAGTGACCGCAACATGCCGTCCTGCACTCAGAGTGACCACAAAAACATGCCGTCTGCACTCAGAGTGACCGCCAACATGCCGTGCTGCACTCAGAGTGACCACAACATGCCGTCTGCACTCAGAGTGACCGCAACATGCCGTCTGCACTCAGAGTGACCACAACATGCCGTCTGCACTCAGAGTGACCACAACATGCCGTGACCACAACATGCCGTCTGCACTCAGAGTGACCACAACATGCCGTCTGCACTCAGAGTGACCACAACATGCCGTTCTTCACTCAGAGTGACCACAACATGCCGTCTGCACTCAGAGTGACCACAACATGCCGTCTGCACTCAGAGTGACCACAACATGCCGTGACCACAACATGCCGTCTGCACTCAGAGTGACCACAACATGCCGTGACCACAACATGCCGTCTGCACTCAGAGTGACCACAACATGCCGTGACCACAACATGCCGTCTGCACTCAGAGTGACCACAACATGCCGTCTGCACTCAGAGTGGACCACAACATGCCGTCTGCACTCAGAGTGACCACAACATGCCGTCTTCACTCAGAGTGACCACAACATGCCGTCTTCACTCAGAGTGACCACAACATGCCGTCTGCACTCAGAGTGACCACAACATGCCGTGACCGCAACATGCCGTCTTCACTCAGAGTGACCACAACATGCCGTCTTCACTCAGAGTGACCACAACATGCCGTCTGCACTCAGAGTGACCACAACATGCCGTCTGCACTCAGAGTGACCACAACATGCCGTCTTCACTCAGAGTGACCACAACATGCCGTGACCACAACATGCCGTCTGCACTCAGAGTGACCACAACATGCCGTGACCACAACATGCCGTCTGCACTCAGAGTGACCACAACATGCCGTCTGCACTCAGAGTGACCACAACATGCCGTCTTCACTCAGAGTGACCACAACATGCCGTGACCACAACATGCCGTCTGCACTCAGAGTGACCACAACATGCCGTCTGCACTCAGAGTGACCACAACATGCCGTCTGCACTCAGAGTGACCACAACATGCCGTCTGCACTCAGAGTGACCACAACAGTGCCGTGACCACAACATGCCGTCTGCACTCAGAGTGACCACAACATGCCGTCTGCACTCAGAGTGACCACAACATCCGTCTGCACTCAGAGTGACCGCAACATGCCGTCTGCACTCAGAGTGACCACAACATGCCGTCTGCACTCAGAGTGACCGCAAACATGCCGTCTGCACTCAGAGTGACCACAACATGCCGTGACCACAACATGCCGTCTGCACTCCACAACATGCCGTCTTCACTCAGAGTGACCACAACATGCCGTCTGCACTCAGAGTGACCACACATGCCGTGACCACAACATGCCGTCTGCACTCAGAGTGACCACAACATGCCGTCTGCACTCAGAGTGACTGCCGTCCTGCACTCAGAGTGACCGCAACATGCCGTCTGCACTCAGAGTGACCAAACATGCCGTGACCACAACATGCCGTCTGCACTCAGAGTGACCGCAACATGCCGTCTGCACTCAGAGTGACCACAACATGCCGTCTGCACTCAGAGTGACCGCAACATGCCGTCTGCACTCAGAGTGACCACAACATGCCGTCTGCACTCAGAGTGACCGCAACATGCCGTCTGCACTCAGAGTGACCACAACATGCCGTCTGCACTCAGAGTGACCACAACATGCCGTGACCACAACATGCCGTCTGCACTCAGAGTGACCACAACATGCCGTCTGCACTCAGAGTGACCACAACATGCCGTCTGCACTCAGAGTGACCGCAACATGCCGTCTGCACTCAGAGTGACCACAACATGCCGTCTGCACTCAGAGTGACCGCAACATGCCGTCTGCACTCAGAGATATGTGATGTTTGTGTGAGACAGAGCCCTGCGAGTCAGATAGTGACTCAATAGTCAAGGGCCAAGTGGGGGTTTCTCACTTGAATGTAAATGATGAGGTGACGTAAAGCAAAAGGACACCATACAGGACATGAGGGGGACTCGATCGTACCGAACAGAACCTGGTCCAAACAGAACCTGGTCCAAACAGAACCTGGTCCAAACAGAACCTGGTCCAAACAGAACCTGGTCCAAACAGAACCTGGTCCAAACCTCTGTGTTAACACAGAAACTACACTCTGAACTCACTCAACAAAAGAAAAGTGACAAATAACTGAGACAAACCAAGTAAAAGCTGTACGGACTCTGTCAGAGGAGAGAGAAGAGAGAGGAGAGAGGAGAGAGAGGGAGGAGAGAGAGGAGAGAGGAGAGAGAGACGAGAGAGAGGAGAGGGGAGCTGGATTGGTCAGGTGCAGCTCTGCTCCTCCAATCAGCGCCTGGAGCTGGAGACGACCAGGAAGTAAGAGGGCCAGCAGTCCTCCAATCACAGGACAGGACTCCAGCGACAGGGGGGGAGGGGTTGCGGTCAGCACTAGATCATAAACGGAATCGGGACGAAACCGGAAGTAACAATCCTTCTTTCGAATTAGTTTTAGACTAAAAATTCCTTAAATGGTGACTGTTTAAGTTTTAGGCGTCTCTCTTGGGTCTCTCTCTTGGTCTCTCTCTGGTCTCTCTGGTCTTTCACTGGTCTATTTCTGGTCTCTCTGGTCTCTCTCTATGGTGCTCTCTCTTTGGTGTCTCTCTCTGGTCTCTCTTTGGTCTCTCTCTGGTCTCTCTCTCTGGTCTCTCTCTGGTCTCTCTCTGGTCTCTCTCTGGTCTCTCTGGTCTCTCTCTCTGGTCTCTCTCTTTGGTGTCTCTCTCTGGTCTCTCTTTGGTGTCTCTCTCTGGTCTCTCTCTGGTCTCTCTCTGGTCTCTCTCTGGTCTCTCTCTGGTCTCTCTCTGGTCTCTCTCTGGTCTCTCTCTGGTTGAACACTTCCTTGCTTTTCCTTGTCACATAAATCCGTGTCCTAAGTGCTATTGATCAGAAGCCACTTGAACGTAGCTCATTGATCGTTTGGGCTTTAGACCATTAGACCTGATCCCAGACCTGATCCCAGACCTGATCCCAGACCTGATCCCAGACCTGATCCCAGACTGAGACCGAGACTGAGACCGTCTTTTTAATCCCATCACATCAGGGAGAGTCATGAAGTCACTCGACGCAGACACTTTGCCGCAAAATGTGTCTTCTTCATTTGGAGGATTAGGATCTCTGCAGAAACGAGATGTGGACTCGTTAGTGCAGTCTGCGGAGACCAGGAGGAGACCAGGAGGAGACCAGGAGGAGACCAGGAGGAGACCAGGGGGAGACCAGGAGGAGACCAGGAGGAGACCAGGAGGAGACCAGGAGGAGACCAGGGGGAGACCAGGAGGAGACCAGGAGGAGACCAGGAGGAGACCAGGGGGAGACCAGGGGGAGACCAGGAGGAGACCAGGAGGAGACCAGGGGGAGACCAGGGGGAGACCAGGGGGAGACCAGGGGGAGACCAGGAGGAGACCAGGAGGAGACCAGGAGGAGACCAGGAGGAGACCAGCAGGAGACCAGGAGGAGACCAGCGATTTGCACATGTTTGAAGCGACCCTGGTTTTGAGAGGTATCAGAGAGAGAGAGCGGAGTGAGAGAGCAGAGAGTGAGAGAGCAGAGAGTGAGAGAGACCAGAGAGTAAGCGAGACCAGAGAGTGAGCGAGACCAGAGAGTAAGCGAGACCAGAGAGTGAGCGAGACCAGAGAGTGAGAGAGCAGAGAGTGGGAGACCAGAGAGTGAGAGAGACCAGATAGTGACAGAGAGTAAGAGAGATCAGAGGGCAAGAGACCAGAGAGTGAGAGACCAGAGAGTGAGAGACCAGAGAGTGAGAGACCAGAGAGTGAGAGACCAGAGAGTGAGAGACCAGAGAGTGAGAGACCAGATAGAGTGAGAGAGACCAGAGAGTGAGCGAGACCAGAGAGTGAGAGAGACCAGAGAGTGAGAGAGACCAGAGAGTGAGAGAGACCAGAGAGTGAGAGAGACCAGGGAGTGAGAGAGACCAGGGAGTGAGAGAGACCAGAGAGTGAGAGAGACCAGAGAGCGAGAGAGACCAGAGAGCGAGAGAGACCAGAGAGCGCGAGAGACCAGAGAGCGAGAGAGACCAGAGAGTGCGAGAGAGACCAGAGAGTGCGAGAGAGACCAGAGAGTGCGAGAGACCAGAGAGTGCGAGAGAGACCAGAGAGCGAGAGAGACCAGAGAGCGAGAGAGACCTGTCTGGTGTTGCCGCTGGTTACAACCTGGTGGAGACTGACAAATCCTGCTGCAGCCGACGGAGAGAACAGGAGTTTCTCCGAGTTACAGCAGGATTTCATGATCAGTTTGAATTATTAACGCGGACCACGGCCTCCCTGGTCCTCGCCGCAGTCTCCCCGGTCCTCGCCGCAGCCTCCCTGGTCCTCGCCGCAGTCTCCCCGGTCCTCGCCGCAGTCTCCCCGGTCCTCGCCGCAGCCTCCCTGGTCCTCGCCGCAGTCTCCCTGGTCCTCGCCGCAGTCTCCCCGGTTCTCGCCGCAGTCTCCCCGGTCATCGCCGCAGTCTCCCCGGTCATCGCCGCAGTCTCCCCGGTCCTCGCCGCAACCTCCCCGGTCCTCGCCGCAGTCTCCCCGGTCCTCGCCGCAACCTCCCCGGTCCTCGCCGCAGTCTCCCCGATCCTCTCCGCAGCCTCCCCGGTCCTCGCCGCAGCCTCCCTGGTCCTCGCCGCAGCCTCCCTGGTCCTCGCCGCAGTCTCCCTGGTCCTCGCCGTAGTCTCCCTGGTTCTCGCCGCAGTCTCCCTGGTCCTCTCCGCAGCCTCCCCGGTCCTCGCCGCAGCCTCCCTGGTCCTCGCCGCAGCCTCCCTGGTCCTCGCCGCAGCCTCCCTGGTCCTCGCCGCGTTTCCCTGGTCCTCGCCGCAGTTTCCCTGGTCCTCGCCGCAGTCTCCCTGGTCCTCGCCGCAGCCCTCCCTGGTCCTCGCCGCAGCCTCCCTGGTCCTCGCCGCAGTCTCCCTGGTCCTCGCCGCAGCCTCCCTGGTCCTCGCCGCAGCCTCCCTGGTCCTCGCCGCAGCCTCCCCGGTCCTCGCCGCAGCTCCGTCCTACCCTGGTCCTCGCCGCAGCCTCCCTGGTCCTCGCCGCAGCCTCCCCGGTCCTCGCCGCAGCCTCCCCGGTCCTCGCCGCAGCCTCCCGCCGTCCTCCCGCCTCGCTTAGCCTCCCCGGTCCTCGCCTTAGCCTTCCGGTCCTCGCCGCGCAGCCTCCCCGGTGCTCGCCGCAGTCTCCCTGGTCCTCGCCGCAGTCTCCCCGGTCCTCGCCTTAGCCTCCCCGGTCCTCGCCGCAGCCTCCCCGGTCCTCGCCTTAGCCTCCCCGGTCCTTGCCGCAGCCTCCCCGGTCCTCGCCTTAGCCTCCCCGGTCCTCGCCGCAGTCTCCCCGGTCCTCGCCGCAACCTCCCCGGTCCTCGCCGCAGTCTCCCCGGGTCCTCGCCGCAACCTCCCCGGTCCTCGCCGCAGTCTCCCTGGTCCTCGCCGCAGCCTCCCTGGTCCTCGCCGCAGTCTCCCTGGTCCTCGCCGCAGCCTCCCCGGTCCTCGCCTTAGCCTCCCTGGTCCTCGTCTTAGCCTCCCTGGTCCTCGTCTTAGCCTCCCTGGTCCTCGCCGCAGCCTCCCTGGTCCTCGCCTTAGCCTCCCTGGTCCTCGCCGCAGTCTCCCTGGTCCTCGCCTTAGCCTCCCCGGTCCTCGCCGCAGTCTCCCCGGTCCTCGCCGCAGTCTCCCCGGTCCTCGCCTTAGCCTCCCCGGTCCTCGCCGTAGCCTCCCTGGTCCTCGCCGCAGTCTCCCTGGTCCTCGCCGCAGTCTCCCTGGTCCTCGCCGCAGCCTCCCAGGTCCTCGCCGCAGCCTCCCTGGTCCTCGCCTTAGCCTCCCTGGTCCTCGCCGCAGTCTCCCTGGTCCTCGCCTTAGCCTCCCCGGTCCTCGCCGCAGTCTCCCCGGTCCTCGCCGCAGTCTCCCCGGTCCTCGCCTTAGCCTCCCCGGTCCTCGCCGTAGCCTCCCCGGTCCTCGCCGCAGCCTCCCTGGTCCTCGCCATAGTCTCTCCAGTCTATGCCGAGCTCCCAGTGAAAAGCAGAAGAAGAAGACAAAACCCTCAAGGCCATTGCTATAGAAACCAGCACAAACTCAGAAATATGAATGAAACAGATCTGGTTTAGTCTGTTTCTGTAAGAGAAACCCCTCTCTCACTCCCCTCTCTCTCCTCTCCTCTCTCTCCTCTCTCCCTCCCCTCTCTCTCCTCTCCTCTCTCTCCTCTCTCCCTCCCCTCTCTCTCCTCTCCTCTCTCTCTCTCCTCTCTCACTCCCCTCTCTCTCCACTCCTCTCTCTCCTCTCTCCCTCCCCTCTCTCTCCTCTCCTCTCTCTCTCTCCTCTCTCCTCTCCTCTCTCTCCTCTCCTCTCTCCCTCCCCTCTCTCTCCTCTCTCTCTCTCTCCTCTCTCACTCCCCTCTCTCTCCTCTCCTCTCTCTCTCTCCTCCTCTCTCGTCTCGGTGGGGTTGTGGTCTCAGATTATCCCTGTCTCTGTGGGTGTCGGTTCTGTCCTGGTGCAGATATGACCGTCCTCTCTCTCTCTCTCTCTCTCTCGCCTCATTTCTTTCTCCACATGAGTTAATCTCCTTCAAAACTGTTTCCGGAGCTCGCCGCCGCGGCCGCCCAGGGTCAGAGGAACCGGTGTGTGGCTGAAAATATCTCAGTAAATATCTATCATGGTCGGTTTGTTCAAAGCCCTTATTATTATTATTTTAATGTTTACTTAAGACCCAGGACTGAGGCTGTAGATCCAGGACTGAGGCTGTAGACCCAGGACTGAGGCTGTAGACCCAGGACTGAGACTGCAGACCCAGGACTGAGGCTGTAGACCCAGGACTGAGGCTGTAGATCCAGGACTGAGACTGTAGACCCAGGACTGAGGCTGTAGACCCACGACTGAGGCTGTAGACCCAGGACTGAGACTGCAGACCCAGGACTGAGGCTGTAGACCCAGGACTGAGGCTGTAGACCCAGGATGAGGCTGTAGACCCAGGACTGAGGCTGTAGTCCCAGGACTGAGGCTGTAGACCCAGGACTGAGGCTGTAGACCCAGGACTGAGGCTGTAGACCCAGGACTGAGGCTGTAGACCCAGGACTGAGGCTGTAGACCCAGGACTGAGGCTGTAGACCCAGGACTGAGGCTGTAGACCCAGGATGAGGCTGTAGACCCAGGACTGAGGCTGTAGACCCAGGACTGAGGCTGTAGTCCCAGGACTGAGGCTGTAGACTCAGGACTGAGGCTGTAGACCCAGGACTGAAGACACTGTGAACTTTTTAACCTCATCGTCTTTGAACTTTTGTTTGGAGTCGGTGAAAAAAACACAAATTATAAATCAGCAGCGTGTGTTTAGAAGCAATCAATCAGCAACGACCTGTACAAGGGCAGACCAGAGAGAGACCAGAGAGAGACCAGAGAGAGACCAGAGAGAGACCAGAGAGAGACCAGAGAGAGACCAGAGAGAGACCAGAGAGAGACCAGAGAGAGACCAGAGAGAGACCAGAGAGAGACCAGAGAGAGACCAGAGAGAGACCAGGGAGGGACCAGGGAGAGACCAGAGAGAGACCAGGGAGAGACCAGAGAGAGACCAGAGAGAGACCAGGGAGGGACCAGAGAGAGACCAGAGAGAGACCAGAGAGAGACCAGAGAGAGACCAGAGAGAGACCAGGGAGAGACCAGAGAGAGACCAGAGAGAGACCAGGGAGGGACCAGGGAGAGACCAGAGAGAGACCAGAGAGAGACCAGGGAGAGACCAGAGAGAGACCAGAGAGAGACCAGAGAGAGACCAGAGAGAGACCAGGTTATGAACTCAGTAAATATAAAAAATCCTCTTTTCTCGTCCTCTTTGTCCTTTTCTCTCACAGTTTAATTGGAAGCTTCCTATAGGTCAGTGAAGGATTGAGGCAGAAGGAGGTATATTTTGTGAATTGGATGCGGCCGCTGTCTTCAGAGCAGGTGCAGGGGCAGAGAGCATGCTGGGAAAGAGAGCGGGGCAGTGTTTGAAGTGTCTTATCTGTGACTGCTGCATTCCTCTGTGATACACACACACACATATACACACACACACACACACACATATATACACACACACACACAGACACACACACATATATATACACACAGACACACAGAGACACAGACAGACACACACACACAGAGACACACACACACACACACACACACACAGACACACACACACACAGAGAGAAACACACACACAGACACATACAGAGACACACACACACACACAGAGCTGTTGGTTCACTCTCCATGATGTGTCAATCATTATCCAGACGCCTGTAGTCTCAAAGAATAAATCATTGATATTTTGGAGCGGACCGAAAGAAACCAGTGGGATGGGTTCACCTCCATCTGGTCTCTCTCTCTGGTCTCTCTCTGGTCTCTCTCTGGTCTCTCTCTGGTCTCTCTCTGGTCTCTCTCTGGTCTCTCTCTAGTCTCTCTGTCTCTCTCTGGTCTCTCTCTGTC